TCTTGCACTTCCAAGACCTCCCTTTTAACACCATTCACCCCTCCTCAACTCCCTTGCTTTCTAGTACCCTCTCCCAGGAGACTTTCCCCAGTCTGGCCTTCAATTGTCCAAAGTTGGCCCTTGAAGTCCCAGCTTCTAATACTCAGCCTGCTGCTTGTCCTCATTCCCCTGATCTCAAAGCAAAGGATGGAGAGATCACTCGTATCCAGAGCTCCCCTAATCCGCACCCCATCCATCAGCTCCTCCCTGTTCATCAAGACCAAGTCATGGATATTCCCACCCCACCACTATCACCTCCCAACCCTCTGCATGAAAAAACCCTCCCTCTATAGTGTCTAGGAAGTGATGTCACCTGGTTGGCACTGCTGAGTAAGATTTTCAAATAATATCTGGGAGATTGAAATCTCCCATAATTACCATGTCCTTTCCCAAGATATCCTTTGAATCTGGTCTGTCACGGTGTCATTCAGGGTCTCAAACTGACTTGGAAGGCGATAACATGCCCCCACTGTCAGATCTCTCTCTCTATCAAAACCCTTAAGTTTTACCCAGACTGCCACTACCAAATCCCCATCTGTGTCACATTCTATCTCATTGCATCCCTTCCCTTCCCTGACATATAATGCTAAGCCCCCTCACCTCCTTCCCCTCCTGTTGTTTCTAACCAGGTCGTACTCCTTTATGTTGACATTCCAGTCCTCTCTTTCATCCCACCAAGTTTTTGTGATCCTCACCAGGTCACACCTTCGTATTCCCAGGAAAGCCTCAAGCAGTTCCTGCATATTACCCAAGCTCCTAGCATTGGTGTACATGCGTCTCAGCACCTTCCCACAAATCCCTTTCTTTTGGCTCCCGGCCTCCTCCTTCCTCCCATTGTCTCTAATACCAGCACCCTATTGTAAGAGTCCCATTAGCCCCTGTAGTGCCTCTAACACTTGGACCTGAAACCCTGGTCCTCTCCCCTCACTTCTCCCATCAGGACAAGTTTCTGGGGATCCTGGACCCACCCACCCCTGGCTCAGTTTAAAGCTGCTCAGAAGTAGCTTTCTAGAACATTTCCTTTTCCCCATTCTTGTGAAGTGAACCCTGTCCCTCGTCAGAAGTCCATTGGCAAGAAAATGGGTTCCATGGTCAAGGAACCCGAAACATTCCTTCTGACACCACACACTGAGCCAGTCATTCACCTCTGCAACCCTCCTTTCCCTGGTTGGCCCAAATACCCAGACCAGCAAGATAGAGAAAAAGGCCACTTGGGCCTTTGGGTCCCTAAGTTTCTTGCCCAGAGCTTCAAAGTCCTTAGCGCTCTTGTCCACCCACTGCCAGGCCATGTTGTTTGTCCCCACGTGGATCACCAGAAGCATCTGTTGACCCCTGAAGGAAGGAGACAGTCTACTGTGTCTGTCACATGCTGGATGTGTGCAACAGACCTCCCTCGCCTCATGGTCAGGGCGGCACACTGCCACCTCAGTGTCCCATAGCAAGGAGGCCCCGATGACAATCACCCACTGCCGTCTCTTCCCAGTGGAGGTAGATGGCCATGCCTTGACCCTTACCTCTTCTGCAGTGGCCCCCTGGCCACACCTGGCTGCAGGTGGAGGATTCTGGACAGGTCAGTCCCCCAAGTCCTCATCAGCCCCAGCCTCTCCAAGTGAAGAAAATCTGTTTTCCAGCCCCAGGTCAGCATTAGAAGATGGTGGAGGCCTTGCTGGCCTCCTCCTCCTGTGGATGACATGCCTCCGTGTCTCTCCACCTGATTCTCCCTTGGCCCCCCTCAAACTTCTGTCTAGAGGGTGGCTGCTCTCAGGTGGCCTGGAGAACCCTCTCAGCCCTCAGGCTCCTCACCACCTAGGAGGGGCACCAGCTTGCACTGGGGGAAAGTGTATCCTTGCCTCTCTGGAGGGAGAAGGGCAAACATGTCACAGGTATTGCAATGGACAGCAACCTCTGTGATTCCCACCATAGCCACCTCCTGGCTTGATGTAGGGTACCCCTCACAGGCCTCAGCTTCTTCCTCTGCCTTGCCTGTCCTCTGCCTTGCCTGTTCTACACTACCCTTCCCTGACGCTGCTCATCTAGTTCTCTCAGACAGAATAATAATAACAAACAATTTTTAAAAAGGACCCGGGGAAGAGAGCTCCTGAGCAACCCAGGTCACAGGTGAGGGATACAGACAAGGGACTACGCCCTTGTCGCATCACCCTTGGCGAACCACCTGTTGGTGCTGCACCATCAGTGCCACACCAATGACCGCACAGGCCCTCAGATAGGTGCCATAGCCAGCAGGCAGCTCACCCCCCCCCCCCCGCACCTCTCCCACCTGCAGCAGGCCTGCTAGGTCCCCCCTGTCCTGCAGCCCAGTCCTCCCCTCCTTCCCAGGGCCCTTGTCACTCACGCATGCCCACCCTGGCTTCTCCATGCTGCCCAGCTCTGCTGCTACTGCAGCTCCCTCTCGTGTCCAGGCCCAAGACTCAAAAGAGACAGAGATACAGGGACTCACCTAAAGCCATCTAATTAATTACTGGCAGAGGCACAAATCTTATTGTTCTAAGAAGCTCTCTGGGGTGACTTCTAATATCCACAACTGAGATGCTACCAACTAGATAGGGCTACCAAGTCAGGTCTGTTAGACCCACACCTTTAAATGGGTATTCATGGACTCCAGAAAGAGTGTATGGCTGCATTAGCTTAGATAGCTACCTTTCTCAGCAGTGCCTTACTTTTTACTTGTCTTCTGAATATTCTAAAACAATTCATGATCTAAACACACAGCAAGCCTTTCATGCTTTACCTAGGGTACTACACTCCCAGCAGCAAAAGAACTAATCCATTAATTGAATTGCAAGTCAGGAAACAATAAATTCATCTTTTAAAAAACAGCTTTGGTTTCTAATATTACAGTCAGATCAGTCTAATTAAAATGGCATAGGTCAGAGCTTCACCTTTAGAATGACAAAGAATCTACTTACTAGTTCACTACTAGGGAATGAAACTGGCAAACTGTATTATGTGTTGAGTCTTCAAGGCAAGCTTCACAGTACATTATCAAGTAGATCTATGTTTTTATAGATCATAAGTGTACCTTGTTCATCTAATTTGGAATAGCAGTGTTTAAATTAGATCACTCAGGAGGAAGTCTGTGGGATGCCCTAGGCAAATTCAGTTCAAATCAACCGTATTCCACATTAGCAAGACCTTTTTGAGAAGTCTAGATATTTCCCTATGACAAACTTATTTTTCCATTGCCAAGGTTGCAAAAAATGTACTGTAAATATCCTTTGTGCTTCAGCTTGTATGTAAGACTCCTGAGTGGCTTCAGCCAAAACACATAAATTTAGGTTCATACAGATATGCTGCAACTACACAGAAGTAAAAGATCTTTTCTAGAACCTTCTAACATTCAGCAGTAGGCAGCTGTCAAAAGTATAACTGATGCAGTTGAGGGAAATAGTTTAGAGATACTATTAAAGCCAAATTTGCCAACCAGATTATCAGAAAGGAGAGCACAGATTGGAGTTCAGAGGCAATAGTTTTCAAATAAATGCTTTAAGAACAAGTAGAAACATTTTTTAGAAATCTGTTTCTATTCCCACACAACATAGGGGTGGGTGTCGACTTAATGATTCTCTGAATAGACCTGTTGAAATCAGTGGGACCCCTGAAATCAACGGGACATCTGGAAAGGAAAATCTCAAGGCAGTTGGTGCACTTCTGCCATTGAAGTGCAGTAAAACTACCCTTGTAAGCTTCCTGGATGGGAGACTATTTGGGAATTCAGTGTAAACTTCTCCAGGTCTTTTGAAGGAAGAGATGGACATGGAAATGAGTAGAGTTCATATATGTGGAAGCTCCTGCTTCAGTCCCTAACATGTCCAGGTCAACATTCTCACATATCAGGGCAGAGGAAGACTATTGTTGAGAACTGCTGCCAGTTACAGTAGAAATCATTTGATTAGATGGATCAGAAGTAGAACTCTGTATAGGGCAGTTTCATACATTCTGTGCATGTATCTACATCCATTCACTGTATAAGGTTCTCAATGAAGCAAGCACTTTCTGGAGGGGGAGGACTGTCCGCAGTGTAGGTACAGTGCATGTAATGTACAGGCCTACATGCATCATTTCCCCAGACTACCCGAGTTTCATCCTGCCACGACCTCAAATGCAGATCAAATCCCATTCTCCTTTATCACTTCCACTCATGGCTGATGTCTTCTACATTAGTTTGTCCTGGAACTTTGCATCTTAGGAGATTTCTTTATTAGAAAGTTTGCTTCTTGTCATGTTGCATTTCTTCTGATGCATATGATGGCTTCTTTTGCCATTTAAAGCACCCTGGGGAACTAGCATTTCACCATTTCGGTGATTTCTAAAACTGCCTTTGTGTTAGCCTTTAAGTGCTTCTTGGTAACATGATTAATAAAATACTGGATTACTTGTAAATCAAATCAGGTGGAAAACATTTCTAGTTGTGGTATTTAACATGTAAGCACCAATGGTACAAATTCCCTACCCTGCGTGATGAATATTTTTAAATTCAGAAGTTTAAAGTAGGGATATTGGGGGGTGCAAGGGAAGCATGCTTATCTGCACAGTTCATTTTTCTTAGGCATTTCATCTTAAACTAAGCTGCCAAATGTATTTTGCAAACCTCAATTTAGGTGACAGTTTCTAGATAACCTTTATAGTTGCCACATCAGCTGTTTGTTTGATGCTTGCAGGGAAAAAACAATTTGCTATAAGATTTAGCTGCTATGCTGCCAAGAACGGTGAGAAACCTAATATAGTCAAAGGCATGTTTTCAGCTTACAATTACATATCTGTAACATATTTTCCCCCTGTTTGCTTTAAGAATTTGGATATGCACGGACTAGAGATGCACTGTTGTAAGTTGGTTGGCTGCATGATCCACTGAAGAAGGACCAAGTGTTCCATCTGAAGCAAAGTGTAATATTAATCACTCATCCAAAGGCACTTGGGAAGACAATTGGCAGTGGAAGACTATGACAATACCACAAGTCTTACTGATGCTGCTACTCTGGGTATGCCTACTACACCCCTGTTTGACAACAATGGTATTCACCAGGACTACAGACCATCAGCCTCAAAATTTTGTGGCCCAGGGAACAGGGAATGACGGAAAAGCTCTGCACCGCCAGAAACGAGGCTGGATGTGGAACCAATTCTTCTTGTTGGAGGAATATACTGGATCAGATTACCAATATGTTGGCAAGGTAGGTCTTAAGCATGTCTCCTCCTGTTATTTCCGTGCATTGCAGTGATTTAATGACAGGGAATGATCTTTGAAGAGAACGTTCCCAAATGTACTCACACATTTTGTTTGCTTTCTTAGGGGGAAAAGCCAGCAGCTTTGAAAATGGGCCAGCCCCAGAAATAATACTGCAACTGTTACTTTTCCTAGCTCCTTGATGACAGTGTTACATTTCTTTTGGTACATGAGTAAAGAACCACAATGCTTATGGAAATAGTATTTTATAAAATGTTTTATCTTTTCTGTACCTGCCTACTCCTCAGGAACTCAAGCTATCTTCCATCTTCCAGCATTGGCTCTGAGGAGAAAGTGACCCTCACTAACAAACCTGATGGAGAAAGAATTTCAGCATGAAATGAAGGATTAGTAATTTCATGAATGAAGGAGTTTTATGCTCTGCCAAAATATAGATAAAGGACAAAACCTTTTCTAAGTAATTCAACCTAGCTTGGCTCTCTTCAAACCTGATCCTAGACATATTTACACAGAAGCAAAAATAAACTGATATATCACAATATCTGGCCACACATGGCAACTCTTTCAATGACTCACCAGTAGCAAATCTATCAGAAATGTAGAAACTTGTTTTGACTGTAGATTCTTTCCATAACATATCAAGGCATGAAAACATCCTCGGAAGGTTATCAAGAGTTTCTCAATGAGACGTTCCGAAATAATGTTTCTACATTCCTGCAATGAACAGTCCATAGGAAAATATATGGGGTTCTGCAGGGCCTTTCTTAGAGAGGTATTTGCACATGAACTGAAATATGCAGCACTTCCATAAACCTCTGTAAAATGTTTGACCTCTTTGACAGATGTGGTGGGTTTTCTCCCTACAGATATTTCCTATGAAAAAGATCTCCTTAAAGTAGGAACTCTTTGCACTATAAGGGAGAAAAAGTCACATGAGTGGAAGGAGAACTCTGTTTGAACTTGCTTCTTTCCAGATGCCCATGCAGATACTTGGCATGAGGCAGGCTCAGGGAAAAGAGAAAGCAGAATGGAGTCCAGAGATCCAAACTGAGGAAATCCAATGGATTCCCACACCACAACTGGATTCCTCAAACATCCCCAATCCCACAGCTATGCATACCTGTTAGAGGGAAATTGAACAAACATCTCAGGACCAAGCCAGAAAAATCCATTGAGTTTTCACTCCACAAATGGATGGAATTCTTATACTTTACTTGTGTGTTTTCATAGCTTATTAGTGTGCAGAACAGCTCAAATAGTCAGGAGGTTGTTCTCACCTGACCTCTGCTTACCTTGTGGTTTGTTTATCACTGTATACCCATGCAATTTTTCTAGCAGATTTTATTGAACTGTATTTTATTTATTTATTTTTATTAAAACATTTTTATGCCGCCCCATTCGCCGAAGCCTCGGGGCGGCTTACAACATAGATAAAACAAGTTAAAATCCATATAAAATAATCTTAATTAAAACTCACATTATAAAATAAGCCGCCCTGGCCAGATAAAATTCAATTGTATTTAGCATTTAAAATGTTGCTTAAATAAAAAGGTCTTAGCCTGGCGCCGAAAAACAAATAACGACGGCGCCAGGCGGACCTCTCTGGGGAGCGCATTCCATAACTTAGGCGCCACCGCTGAGAAAGCCCTTCTCCGAGTAACCACCCTCCTAATTTCTCTCACGGAGGGCTCCCGGAGAAGGGCCTCTCCCGCCGATCTCAGGGGGCGACTGGGCAAATATGGATGTAAGCGCTCCTTCAGGTAACCAGGACCCAAGCCGTTTAGGGCTTTATAGGTCATTACCAACACCTTGAATTGGGCCCGGACTTCAATGGGGAGCCAGTGAAGCTGACGGAGAACTGGCGTCATGTGAACATAACGTCCAGTCCCCGTCAGCAGCCTGGCAGCTCTATTCTGAACCAATTGAAGTATCCGGACCGTCTTCAAGGGTAGCCCCATGTAGAGCGCGTTACAGAAGTCAAGACGGGAAGTCACCAGCGCATGAGTCACTGTTGCAAGGCAGTCGTACTCCAGGTAGGGGCGCAGCTGATGAATCAGCCGAAGCTGGAGGAAAGCGCTCCTCGCCGCTGTTGTCACCTGAGCTTCAAGTGAAAGCTCCGGGTCGAGGAGCACTCCCAAGCTGCGGACCTTGTCCCTAGGAGGGAGTGCAACCCCATTCAGGACAAGGTTCAGGTCACCTTCTCCGAAGCCCGAACCGCCAACCAACAGGACCTCCGTCTTGTCTGGATTGAGCTTCAGTTTATTGGCCCTCATCCAGCCCATTACCTCGGCCAGGCACCGGTTCAGTACAGCCACTGCCTCACCTGGATTGGTGGAAAACGAGAGGTAGAGCTGGGTATCACCAGCATACTGATGGGTCCGCAGCCCACACCTCCTGATGACCTCTCCCAGCGGTTTCATGTAGATATTGAACAGTAAAGGGGACAAAATGGAACCCTGCGGTACCCCATGGCAAAGCTGCCATGGCGCAGAGCCATAGTCCCCCAACACCACCTTCTGGAATCGGTCGTTGAGATAGGAGCGGAACCACCGCAAAGCGGTGCCTCCGACCCCCAATCCCGCCAGCCTATCCAGAAGGATACCATGGTCGATGGTATCGAAAGCCGCTGAGAGGTCCAGGAGAACCAACAGGGACGCACTCCCCCTGTCCTTCTCCCTGCACAGGTCATCGTACAGGGCGACCAAGGCAGATTCAGTACCGTACCCGGGTCTGAAGCCGGACTGAAATGGGTCCAGATAATCAGTTTCATCCAAGAGTGCTTGGAGTTGTCCCGCCACCACTCGCTCTAACACCTTGCCCAGAAACGGGATGTTGGCCACTGGTCTATAGTTAGCGGCCATCCCTGGATCCAGTGACGCCTTCTTCAGGACCGGTCGGACTACCGCCTCCTTTAAAGGGGCAGGCACCCGACCCTCCCTCAGAGAAGCGTTAACCACTTCCAAGATCCAGGTTCCAATCCCGTGCTTGGAATCCTTTATTAACCAAGACGGGCAAGGGTCCAGAAGGCAAGTGGTAGGACGTACTCGTCCAAGCACCTTGTCCACATCATCGGGCTGCAGTAACTGAAATTCATCCAATAATTCTGGACCAGACGGCAGCGTTGGTGTCTCCCTTAAAACCTCTGAATCAATAGTGGAATCCAGCTCGTGACGAATCTGAGCGATTTTCTCCCTAAAATGCTCGGCAAAGTCGTCACAGCGGGCCTTTGAGGGTGGAATCAGCTCTTCCTTTGGCCCTGGGTGAACCAGGCCTTGCACCACTCGAAAGAGCTCCGCCGGACGGCATTGTGAGGAGGCAATGGAAGCGGAGAAGTGTCTCTTTTTCGCCGCCCTCACCGCCACAGCATAGGCCCGATAGTGGGCTCTTAAGTGTGTTCGGTCAGATTCATCACGTGATTTCCTCCACCTACGCTCTAGCCGTCTCCCAACCTGCTTCATTGCCCTCAATTCTGGAGTGTACCAAGGGGAAGAGCGGGCTCTGCCCGGTGGGAGAGGACGCTTAGGAGCGATCGTGTCTACAGCCCTGGTCATCTCCCCATTCCACAGTTCAACCAGAGCCTCGAAAGGAGCACCCGTCTTGTCAGCCGGAAACTCCCCCAGAGCCTTCAGGAATCCTTCCGGATCCATCCGGCTCCGGGGGCGGACCCACACAATCGGGTCTGCACCCTTACAGAGGGAGATGTCGCTCTCGAGCACAAACCTCACTAGGAAGTGATCTGACCATGACAGGGGAGTCAAGCATAAATTCCTCACCCTCAGACCACCCTCTTCCTGCCCCGTCGAGAAAACCAGGTCCAGAGTGTGTCCACGTTCATGGGTCGGGCCGGTGACATGTTGAGACAGCCCCATGGCCGTCATGGAAGCCATGAAGTCCTGAGCCGCCCCGGTCAAACTAGCCTCGGCATGGATATTGAAGTCCCCCAGGACCAGCATCCTGGGGGTCCTCAACACCAGGTCCGAGACCGTTTCCGTCAGCTCAGGCAGGGAGACTGTTGGGCAGAAGGGTGCACGGTACACCAACAGAATCCCCAATCTGTCTCGGTCGCCCAACACCAAGTAGAGACACTCCAGCCCTGGTCTCGAAGGGACAGGAAGTCCCGTGAGAGTGATGGAGGCCCGGTAAACCAAAGCGACCCCCCCTCCCCTCCCCTCCGGCCGTGAACAGTGCTGGACCATATACCCGGACCATATACTGTATTCAAACCCTGACATTTGAAATAGATCTCCTTTTCCTTGAGCAGTTTTTTCTAGTATTAATTAATACAATACGTTTGCATCTGTGAACTGAGATTGTCTATGCTTTGCTTTTTAATGAACACTATATTCTCACTGAAGGAGGTAGTCATAGAGCAGTGGATGCTGTCACTGAGAGCACTCAGTGATGCCACATTACCCTGACTAAATATCTAGATTGCACTAGATCTCCTTACCCAAGAATGGATATTCAGTTCATATAACCTCATGTATTGCAAGATTACATGCCAGACTGCATATGCTTTATTATTCCAGATAGACCAGTTTCAATTGGAAAATCATTTTGACCTTTTCTGCTAAGAAAGCTCATGCAAAATCAATCCATGGAGTACTCTGGAGCTATGCATTATATTTGACAGTGATGAAATCAGATTTCTGCCCTCCAACCACACACATATTGGGACCTAAAACAAAAAAAGTGTGTGCCACAGGGTGGAATCCCAGCTCTGCATAAAGGTTTGGATCTACCTTAGTGAAGCTGTGGGTAAAAACTCAACTTGCTGCTCCACCCTTGAAATGAAAAAGATTTTGGAAGAGAAGGGGATAGAAAGTATTCTTTATTTCAGTGGCAGCACACCTGTTTTACCATAAAAGTTTCCAGGTTTAACCTGAGGGATCTCCATATTAAAGCACCTCAAGAATGGGCAAGCACATGGTAGGCATGTCATGAGTGGAACCAGCTGGAACCAGAGAACAGATTAGATAGCCCAGG